ACAATCGATTACAGTTGCATCCATCATGTTTGGCGTAAATATTCGAACACAACCATTTCATGTAAACAGGAACACGTTACTTTAAAAACAACCGTCTCATCGCAGCATTTCTTGAAATCCTGGTCTGAGACCAGGTAATGATTACAAAGCACGAGCAGTTGGCGAAACTTATTGATCAACTGTCGAAAAGTTGTGGTATAACACGGCAAGATGATTCAACCTCTGTATTTCTTACCCGTGTGCTTGCAATGCTAATGGGTACAATTGCCCCTGTCTGTTACCACCAGATTTATGAATGAATCGTTCGTTTCTTTACCCAAAATGGCACATACCTCTGAATAAACCACATACTGTGACATCATTTTTCTTGGAGTGTTCCAACGGTCGTGCGCGGCCACTTGCAAAACGTACGCAGCAAGACAGAAAACCACAAAGGCTTCTTCGTCAATCGCACTACACTGTCCAGATTTCTTTCTTACAAAGTTTCCAGACGTCGCTCTTTTTTAAAATTCCAAGTCTACGCCGTTCTGTTGGCCAGTCCGAATAACTGTCATGGCGTTAGCTGAGTAAGTACTTGACTTTGTTTGGTCGTCCCAGTTCGGACAATTCGGCAAATGTGGATTGCGTGACAATCGGCCACTTGCAAAGGGAGTGAAGATGGCGGCGAGTGGAACTTTTTGCTCGTGCAAGTAACGTGGTTCGCATTGTCAGCCTAAATAAACATTTCTGGACGAAATTGAAGGATGTAAGGGGAAGGGGGTGTTGTTTAATTCTGCAAGAGGACAGAACTCGACGAGTCACAGAGCCTTGCGCCGGTCCTGCTATCACGGCATGTCTACGTAGATTAATGGAAAATATTACTGCGTTCACAAAAGTTGTGCAAACACCTTTCCTCTTTACCTTTAAAATGCATGTTTGTCGTTCGTGCTTTTTGAATAAAAATGCACCGGTGATAGGGCTGGGATACAAAGTTCGGCTGTGGCCATGGGTCTTCCACAAAAATTAAAACTGCCGATATTGAACGAATAATGTGTGCTACAGTTGTAACCTTCAAAAAGAAACATACAGCAGGCGGAAGTAAAATCAGNTTTCGGGCGATATGCACGTGCCGGTGATCGAAATAAATTTGCATCACATTACAATGTACCAAAAGCAGCGTCTATTTTCATTTAACTATAAATGTTTGCAAAAGTTAATCATGTGGTCAATCTAAAAGGAAAAAAACAGATTGCAAGTATCCTTATTGACGAAAAAGTTTTCCATTCGCTTATTTTTGTTCTTGATGAAGGTAGCGGGCCAAGTTCCATGTTGGTTTCACGAATGACGAATTCACAAAAATGTACCACACGTTTATGTCTCTCGACGGGTTAGTTTTT